TATAAAATTTATGATGAATAAATTTCTCTTACAATCTTCATTTAAGTATATTACGATACGAAAATAAATTATATATTGAATCTTTATTTAAAAAATCTTTTTTTTCAATTATTTTCACATTTACATTTATTCATTTTTCAAAATCGCTTTTAACGATTGTTAAATATGGTAATTAATTCTTAACAAATAATAGAGATAAGAAAAAGAGATCTTTTTTTCTTTATGTAGGATTCTTGATTTTGGAGATTAAACTATTTTGTTAGTGTAAAAGATTAATCTAATAGTTATATCAAATTCTAATTCAATGAGTTCTTCTAAAATATCATCATAAATGCTCCTCATAATTAATGTAATTTCCAATAATAATCCCATTTTCAATCTTTTGATATTCTTTTTATTTTCATAATCATGGGTTAAAGTTTTAAATATAAATTTTTCTAATTTTACAATAATAAATGGGTCGAGTAGATGATTACCATCTTTCTTTGTTAGAATGCTAGTCAAAATGGTACTTGTGAGGCAGGGGAAATTAATAATTGAATAATATGTCAACATTAATAAGATTTATGAGAATATTAAAGAGAGTTGTTTATAGCTAACACAATGAATATTGAAAAATAGAATATTTGAATAGAGATAAACATATAAGGAAGGTGAAAGAAATGTGAAAGTTTTTATAAATGTTCTAATCGAAAAAAAAAATAAGTAGGGTAATTCTTAACAGTTAAAAAAAATGGTAATGTAAAATCGAAAAATCTAAAAAGGACAGAAATAAGAAAGTAAAATTGAAGAAGACTTTGGAGAAGATTTGAAAATCAAATAAATAATATTTCTCATTAATGATCATTTTAAAAGGAATAAATTTAAAATAATAAGATATTGATTCATTGATTTTACATCTTAATTATGAATATCAGAAAATTCAAATTGTTGTTTTTTTTATTTCATTTTCTAATGCATGTTTTAATTTTTCTCATAAACAATGAAAATTAATATAATATGCAAAATAATAAAAATTATTTAATATATCTAGAAAATAGAAAATTGGTATTAAGTGTTCATTTATAAATTATATTTGAATTATTATCTTAATTACTAATTGTTTTATTTTAAGTATTTATTTTCAATTATTAATTATATTAATTAAATGATTTTTTAAATAATAATGAACTTTCGAAAAATGTTCTCAAAGATTAAAATATGTAACTATTTAAAATTTAATTACAAAAGAAATATTCCATCAATTTAAGATTTAAAAAAATTAAAAGATTTGCACATTTTATTGGGGATTCTCCTATAAATATTTGAAGTAGTTTAATGGTCTTCACCACTTAAGATAAAGAATAGTATCATAATTCTTTTTCAAAGAGGGCAAGATGAATGGAATACACTTGATATGAAATAATGATTAATAATTTTTTTAAGAAAAGCAACTTAATCCTAAG